TGTAAGCCGCCCCGAGGTTTCGGCAAGGGGCGGCATAGAAATGCTATAATAATAATAATAATAATAATTAATAATAATAGATGCTTGTCATGCAGAGGATTAGGGCTTTGTAGCCTCCCCAGGGCAAAGGCCGGCAGAATTTTGTCAAGAGAATACGATGGTCATAGCAAACACTCTCTTCCAACAACCCAAGAGACGACTGTACACATGGACATCACCAGACGGTCAACACAGAAATCAGATTGACTATGTGCTCTGCAGCCAAAGATGGAGAAGCTCTATACAGCTTCGGCTCCTGGTCAGTAAAAACTAGACCAGGAGCCGACTGTGGCTCAGATCATGAGCTTCTCATTGCAAAATTTAGGCTTAAATTGAAGAAAGTAGGGAAAAGCTCTGGGCCACTCAGGTATTACCTAGATCATATTCCAGATGAATATACAGTAGAGGTGACAAATAAATTTAAGGAATTAGATCTGATAGAGTGCCTGAAGAACTATGGATGGAGGTTTGCAACATTGTACAAGAGGTAGCAACTAAAACCAACCCAAAGAAAAAAAATGCAAGAAAACAAAATGGCTGTCTGAGGAAGCTTTACAAATAGCTGAGGAAAGAAGGGAAGTGAAAGGCAAGGGGGAAAGAAAGAGATACACCCAATTGAATGCAGAATTCCAGAGAACAGCTAGAAGAGATAAGAATGCCTTCTTAATGAGCAGTGTAAAGAAATAGAAGAAAACAATAGAATAGGGAGGACCAGAGATCTCTTCAAGAAAATTGGAGATATGAAGAGAAAGTTTCATGCAAAGATGGACATGATAAAGGACCAAAATGGCAGGGACCTAACAGGCAAAAGAGATTAAGAAGAGGTGGCAAGATTACACAAAAGAACTCTACAAGAAAGAGCTTAAAGTCCCTGATAACCACGATGGCGTGGTCACTGACCTCAAGCCAGGCATCCTGGAATGTGAAGTCAAATGGGCCTTAGGATGTCTGAACAACAACAAAGCTAGTGGAGGTGACAGTATTCCAGCTGAGCTATTCAAAATCTTAAAAGGCGATGCAATAAAAGTGCTACACTCAATATGCCAGCAAACTTGGAAAACTCAACAGTGGCCGCAGGATTGGAAAAGGTCAGTTTACCTTCCAATTCCAAAAGGCAATGCCAAAGAATGTTCTAACTAACGCACCATTGCACTCATTTTCACATGCTAGCAAAGTGATGCTCAAAATCCTACAAGCCAGGCTCCAATAGTATGTGGACCGAGAACTACCAGAGGTACAGGCAGGGTTTCAAAGAAGCAGAGGAACTAGAGATCAAATTGCCAACATACGCTGGATCATGGAGAAAGCTAGGGAGTTCCAGAAAAACATCTACTTCTGCTTCATTGACTATGCTAAAGCCTTTGATTGTGTGGATCACCAAAAAATTGTGGTAAGTTCTTAAAGAGATGGGAGTACCAGACCATCTTACTTGTCTCTTGAGAAACCTATATGTGGGTCAAGAAGCAACAGTGAGAACTGGACACGGAACCACTGATTGGTTCAAAACTGAGAAAGGAGTTCGGCAAGGATGCATACTGTTGCCCTGCCTATTTAACTTATATGCAGAGCACATCATGAGAAAGGTGGGGCTAGATGAATCACTAGTTGGTATTAGGATTGCTGGGAGAAATGCCAACAACCTCAGATATGCAGATAATACCACTCTAATGGCAGACAGTGAAGAGGAACTAAAGAGCCTCTTGATGCAGGTGAAGGAGGAGAGCGCAAAAGTTGGCTTGAAACTCAGCATTAAGAAAACTAAGATCATGGCATCCGGTCCTCTCACTTCCTGGCAAATAGATGGGGAAGAAATGGAGGTAGTGACAGATTTTATTTTCTTGGGCTCCAAGATCACCAGAGACAGTGACTGCAGCCGAGAAATTAAAAGACGCTTGCACCTGGGGAGGAAAGCTATGGCAAATCTAGCCAGCATACTAAAAAGCAGAGACATCACCCTGCTAACAAAAGTGCTATGGTTTTCCCATTTGCAATGTATGGCTATGAAAGTTGGACCATAAGGAAGGTTAAGAGCCGAAGAATTGAGGTCTTTGAATTGTGGTGCTGGAGAAGACTCCTGCAAGTCTCTTGGACCGCAAGGCAATCAAACCAGTCCATCCTAGAGGAGATCAACCCTGACTGCTCTTTAGAAGGCCAGATAGTGAAGATGAAACTCAAATACTTTGGCCTCCTAATGAGAAGGAAGGATGCCCTGCAGAAGAGCCTAATGCTGGGAACAATAGATGGCAAAAGAAGAAGAGGACAGTAGAGGATGAGGTGGCTGGATGGAGTCACTGAAGCAGTTGGTGTGAGTGTAAGTGGACTCTGGGGGATGGTGGAGGACAGGAGGGCCCGAAGAAGCGTTGTCCGTGGGGTCGCGATGGGTCGGAGGCGACTTCGCGACTAGCAGCACCAACAAAGCCTCCCCACAGATATGAACTCCAGGTTCCCCCAGTCTAGCAAGATTTCACCCAGGGATCTGCTTGCTTAGCTGTAAGCACTAGTGACTTCCCTTTTAAAATGAGAATCATTCCCCGTACTGACCTGATTGGTTCCATCTCTGTGTGGATGTTCCAACCATTTATGAGCATTACTAGAGACTGCTCCAGACTTTGGGGAAACATCCTCATCGGAGCTGCCTGGTAACAGGCTGTTGAGTTCCTCTACCTCAAGGCCTCTCTGCTGTGGATTTTCTTCCGGGTGTTCCGTTGTCATGCTGTCACCTAGGAAAACAGACATTCCCATGGGACGTCATCTTCAGCAGACTGATCATCACATCCGTGTCCAGGGGAAGAGCCTCATCTTTGGGCTTTTGAGCTGAGTAAGCAATCTGCTAGCTTTGTCTTGGAGCACAAAGACAACATGGGGTTCGACCCACACTGTGTGAGAGAGGGGGGGACTGTTGGGGAAGAAAGCAGCGGCTTTGTGCCTAACACCGGGTATCCATTCAGCAGTTCCTGGAGGCAAGGATAATTTCCTAGGGAAGAGAAGATCCCTTCCTTGGTGGGTGCAGCCCAGCCTCTTATTGCTTATGGAGTATTAATTCCACTTTTTGGTTGCAACTTAAATAGGCTTTTGGTGCATGTAACCAAAGAAGTCTTCAATAAAACTCCTTCAAACGCCTTGAGCCTGTAATGAAAACGAGGGAGAAAGGAGGGCTTGGCATCCCCCCGCTCCTGAGCCATTAACATGAAGGAAGGGACATTTATCTACCAAAGGGTCTTGGGAGATGCCACCAATTGGAATACAAAGCACTGGATGAGATAGACCACAGGAACATGGGGAGAGGATGTGGGAACAGACCAAAGGCCTATCCCAGGAATAGGGAACCTCAAGCCCAGGGGCTAGATTTGCCCCTTGGGATTCCCAGATAGCTACAGCTCTTTTCCACCAACTAACAAAGGTTTTGGTGGTTTCCCAGCTTTTGAAACTTCTTTCACATTCTAAAGGGCTCCCAAGACATAGTGTCTGGCCATCCCTTGAAACTGGCTGTCCTGGTGAAAATCTGCAGGGTTGGGACTGAGAAGAATTCTGCAGGGTTGGGACGCGCTGTCCGGCTCGACTCGCTGAGCACACCAGTATCTCCTTGCACACAGAAGGGGAATATCTTAGAAAGAAGGTAGCTTAGAACTTCTCTCCTTGACATACTGCTTTCCTATGTGCAGGGATACTACCACCCCCCCAGACCCTAAGGAGAAACAGTCACTCACCTGAGCACCCCCACTTGCTACCACTCAAAGTGGTACAGCCCTAACAGCAGATAATAAAAACTAGGTCTCCAGCTGAGCAGAGAAAATGAACAGCAACTTACAGGAGTCATTAGCTTCTGCTTCATCCGCAGGGGGATTGAGGCCTGTGGGCGAGTCCAGGCCTTCTCTTTCAGACAGTCCCTGAGATGCCTCAACTGTTTTTTTGCCTTTGCAGCCGCTCCTCTCCTCAGAGTATCGGGGGCCAGGTGCCCAAGGCTGTTGCTGCGGTGCCATATGGGAGATGCGGTCGGGTGCGGAAACCAAAAACTCTGTTCAGGAGGAGCAAGGAAAGAGGTTAGATGATAAAGGAGCACATTGAACTGCCCACTGATGCCCCCCCCCCACAGACTTATTCCTCCTGTTCACCTCCACTTCCATTTTGCTCCGCTTTCTTTGTTGTTGTCCCTGTGCTGAATATTAGATAGTTAGCCCTTGGAACAGCCCCACCTGCTTGTTCTTGGAAAAACACCTTGTGCTTGGAAGACCCTCCGGAAATGACACATCCTTGTCATCTGCCTTGTGAGCAACATTTCTGCACATGTAGGATCACATGTAGCCCTAGTGGCAGGATCAGGGCTCACATCTGCGCACGTGCATAACAGCAAATGCACAACTTGCGCATACACGTACAAAAATGCAGACACAACCCTTCCAAACACATGTTCCTATGCACCGACAGAGAAACAGACGTCTCTTCCCAAACACTTACAGCAGCATGGGAATAACCATCTCGGGCAGGACTGGAGAGGGAAGCCCTGAGATTCAAGCCACTTTCCTGCTTGGGGGCCATCCTAAATTTGCTATTTTGCCCAGCTGACAATGGATCAGTCAGCAAGTGGGAAAAGTGGGCGGGACACCTGGAGGCTCCACGGGCCGCACATAGAAGGCGGCCCACGGGTTGCTCACAGCTGCTGTAAGAGCTACAAATTTGCTTTAAAAGCAGCAGAGAAAAAGTATAATAAGTGAAATCTGGGCCTCCAGGCATGTCAGACCCTTCTGCACACCAGCCACAGGCCCCGTGCTTGCCCAGTGGGGCCTTCCGAGCATGCTATCCCAACCCCGACCCTCCGCACCTGGATGGATTCCCTCCTGATGCTCAGGAAAGGCGGAGCTGTCGTAGAGGCTTTCGCCGTTGTCGAAGTACTTGAAAGCGTTCTCCCCCACGTGGACCCTCTGGTGCTTGGTCAGGTAGGGCCGCCAGCGGAAGCTCTCCCCGCACTGCAGGCACTTGTACGGCTTCTCCCCCGTGTGGATGCGCAGGTGCTCGGTGAGGGTGGAGCGGCGGTTGAAGCTCCTCCCGCACTTGGGGCACTCGTAGGGCTTCTCGCCCGTGTGGATGCGCAGGTGTGCGTTGAGGTGGGTGCTCTGGAAGAAGCGCTTCCCGCAGGCCAGGCACTCGAACGGCTTCTCCCCCGTGTGGGTCCGGTGATGCTTCACCAATTCGAACTTATACTGGAAGGCTTTGCCACACTCGTGGCAGGTGTGCTTCTTCTCTACCTGAACGATCTTGATCTGGCTGATGTCTGTGATGTCATTCCCTTCGGGGAGGGGCTCCGCTTCCATTTTTATCGACCTCTCCGGTGGCCGCCCTGCTGAGCCTTGCCTGGTGTCAGACACTTCAGGTGGAGGGGTCACCCCACCGCGCTGCTCTGCTGACTCATGCTGGGGATTGGCAGCTGCATTTCCCCTCCCCATGGCAGCACCTGCGGGGGGTCAACAGGAGAAAAGAGTAGGCGGTAAGTCTAGAACCACAGGACCAGAGAATGGTAGGGTTGGAAGTGGCCATTGGGCCCAGCCCCCTGCACAGTGCAGGACACCAGGTTAAACCATCCCTCTCAGATGGCTGTCCAGCTGCATCCTGAAGGTCTTCTTTACAGCCCCTTGCCTTCATTTTTAGATTCCATAAACATGTTTCCCAATAGGCACGACTGAAGAAGAGACATGCAATTCCCTTCTGGCCAAGAAGATGGCTACTGTCTCTCCTGGGTTCAGACAACACCACTCTGGGCCTAAGTGGAGGTTGTCATTGAACTGTGGGTTGTTGTTAAATGTCTGAAGCAAGTCAATGAAAAAGCCAGGGTGGTATAGTGGTTACAGTGTTGGACTGGCACTCAAGCAATCTGGATCCTAGTCCCCATTCAGTTCTGAAACTCACTGGGTAACTTTGTTCTAGTCCAGGGGTCGGCAACCTTTAACACTCAAAGAGCCATTTGGACCCATTTCCCATACAAAAGAAAACACCAGGAGCTGCAAAACCCTTCTGACATCTAAAATGAAGATAACACTGCATATATCGTTTTTTACCTTAATGCTATGTATATCTTCATTATGATTTAGCTGCAGCTCTTGTTCAGTCACTAAAATCTGTTATTTTTAATCTTACATTATAAACTAGTAGGACACCTTTCATATATTTTGAATAGGAGAACAGCTTCCTGCAGAGTCAAAGTCAGTGCTAAAGGGCTGCATGCATTAAACAGCAAACCCCATAAGTTCGTCAGCAGTAAAAGCAAATGGATCTACCCACGTATCATGAAACGTTTGGTTTTCTTCAGAAACTTTTTTTTGATTTATCCATGGTTGGCCTACGGGGGAAGTTGCAGTAAACAGTCAAGTGATGTGAATTGTGACAGGTCCCAAGCGCAGCTTTTACCATTCAGAGGATACATTTGGACAAAGAGAATCTTTTCAGCAGCGGTTCGTGTTACTCGTGTTACGCCCCGAGATCAGCGGGAGAGGCCCTCCTCCAGGAGCCCTCAGTGAAGGAAATTAGGAGGGTGGTTACTCGGAGGAGGGCTTTCTCAGCGGTGGCGCCTAAGTTATGGAATGCGCTCCCCAGAGAGGTCCGCCTGGCGCCGTCGTTATTTGTTTTTCGGCGCCAGGCGAAGACCTTTTTATTTAAGCAGCATTTTAAATGTTAATATCATTGAATTTTATTTGGCCAGGGCGGCTTATTTTATTCCAATGTATATATTTTAATTGTTATTGTTTTAATTTATTGTGTATTTTATTATGTTGTGAGCCGCCCCGAGGCTACGGCAAGGGGCGGCATAGAAATGTTTTAATAAATAAATAAATAAATAAATAAATAAAATACGTGAGAGCCTGCAGGAAGCTTGTTCCACTCTTTCCCTGCAATGTCACAATTCACTTGACCTGCTAGTGCAGCTTTCCTGAGTGGATGCCTCATCATCACCTATTGATATTTTGTAACTCGGAGCCTCGGTCGCAGATGGGCAGCTGTGAGGCGTATTTTGGGCAACGGAGCCGCAGCAGAGGGATTCAAGAGCCACGTGCAGCCCCAGAGCTGTGGGTTGCTGACCCCTGGTCTACTCCTTATTCTTGGCCTAAGCTACTCACAGGGTTGTTCTGAGGGTAAAATGTGTGGAGAAAGCCCATAAAAACCTTGGGTGGCTCGAAAGAGGAAAGAAAATGCAATATAAATGAAATAATACAAATTGTAAAATAAGTAAGATAAAATGCTTAGAAGATGCCAAACACCCACTAATCTGTAAGTATTACAGTAATGGCACCTTGACTGCGGAATATACTCCCCAGAGGGGTTCATCTGGTACCAGACCAAGACTTTTATATTTAACCAGTATTTTAATTATATGTGCGTGTGTGTATGTGATTAAATTCTGCTTTAATCAAGTCCTGTTTACTGTTCTGATATTTTTTCAGTTGTAATCTATCTAGAGCTTTTCTATGGAAATATGGATGACAGAAAAAAAATCAATCAATCAATCATCAATTAATCTGGGACAATTTTTCAATCACACATGAGTCCCGCAGTCCCTTCAGTGATGGCCTGAAAAACCATCGCAGCCCCAATAAGCAATGCCAGCATTAAATAGAAAGGCAGCGTGGAAACGTCCTCACCCGCATGAACTCCCTGCTGCCTCGCAAGGGACGGGCCCTCGAACATGGCCTCCCCGTCCCCCAGACCCTTGCAGGCGGCGTTCCCCACGTGGACCCTCTGGTGCTTGGTCAGGTAGGGCCGCCAGCGGAAGCTCTCCCCGCACTGCAGGCACTTGTACGGCTTCTCCCCCGTGTGGATGCGCAGGTGCTCGGTGAGGGTGGAGCGGCGGTTGAAGCTCCTCCCGCACTTGGGGCACTCGTAGGGCTTCTCGCCCGTGTGGATGCGCCGGTGAGCGCTCAGGTGGGAGCTCTGAATGAAGCGCTTCCCGCAGGCCAGGCACTCGTACGGCTTCTCCCCCGTGTGGGTCCTCCAGTGCAGCAGAAACTCGGACTTGCAGTGGAACCACCGGTCGCACTCCGGGCACATGAGTTTCTTGCGCCCCACGTGGAACATGCTGCGCTTCGAATTGGCGGCCCGCACGTGCCTGGAGGGCTCTCGCCACATGTTCCCCGGCTGCATCTCCCACTGCCTCTGCAGTCCGCACCGGGGCTCAGAGCCCATGGGGGTGCTCCCTGGGGAAGCCCCCAGCAGTGTCCACGGGGGTCCCGCCCGATCCGAGATGTCCGGCTCAGCAATCTCTTCCTTGATCTCCCTGACAATCACCTCGCTCGCTGGGATGGAGGGAGACGCCAAAGAAATGTCATTCCCTGCAGAAGAGAGAGGAAGGGGGGAGAACATCAGAGCGAGGGGTTAGGAGCAAGACCCTCTTCCAGTCCCTGCTCGGGACTCAGCCAATTCCTAAGTAGCCTCGACAGAGCGTGAAGCGCCAGCCTCCACGGACCATCCTGCTGCAACACTAGCAGGCTGAGCTGCGTGAAATGCAAAGTGGGAGCAAAACCATCCCACCAGCCCTGCAAAAATACCTATTTCTCCACCTCTTCCCTCCCCATTCCTTTTTCCTTGCCTGTCATGTCTTTTTCAATTGTCAGCCTGCAGGCAGGGATTGTCTTGTTTGCTCGTATGAACGCTGCTTTGGAAGCATTTTGGGATTTTTTTTAAAGCACCACTTGGGCCATGCAATCCCATGGCTCCTTCACCAGCTTATAGAGGTCCGAGAGACTATTTCCAGGTCCCAGCTCTAACCCTGGGAATGTGCTCTGAGGTCAGAGAAGGGTCTCTGAGCTTAGGGTTTCTTCCCCTCTCACAGCCCCTGAAGCAGAAAACCACGCACACCACTTTTCCCAACTGCAGCCTTAGAGAAGGGCACTGGGGACGGGGTGGTGCGGGGACAGGCGCTGCCATGATACGAAGCTTTCTTGCCGTGCTTCAGCCTTGCACTCAGAGGTAGGATATCGAGACAGCCAGAACTCGCTAGGTTTCTGCAAGGAGAAGCATGGAGGCCACCTTGACCTCTGCCCTTTAACTCTGCGGGGCTATGAGCTTCCTTTAATAAATAACTAGTCCTAGTTCTGCTGCACCTGCATATGGGAACATTCAGTCCCTCCTGATGAAGAGAAGGCGTGCAATCATCCACCCTTGCTTGTGTCGCTGCTCTGGCGTCGCCGGCTTCTGATGCGTCTAACTTGCGGGGATGTGCCTGCTGTTGTGCCCTTGCATCAGGTCAGAGGGAAGCTTCTGCCACACCCTGGGCTGAGCGGTGGCGCAATGACCCACCTGCAAGGAGAGGCTTCCTGTCTTATGAACTAACTGCGACTCTAAAAGTGACTCTTTCAAGCTCCGGGTGAGGGGAACAGCCCTTCTAACTCTGGCCATAACAAAACCACACCATGAGAAGGCAAGGCTTGCTGGAGAAGACAAGCCTGCGAGGGAAAGTTGAAGGCAGAAGAAAAGGAAAATCAAATACGAGATGGAGCACATCCGTAAAGGAAGCCACAGCCTTGAATTCATGAGCTAAGAGGGCTGTCATGGGGAGGGTATCTTGGAGGGCTTTCATTCACAGGATGGCCGTGAGCTGGAGATGGCTCGACAGCACATCACAGGAAGAGAATGAAGGGGCCCTCCAGCTGAAATTCAGTTGTGGCTGTGTGTCCCCATCAGGGTGCAGGGAATACGACTGGGCAGTGTGAACCTCACTCCATGCTGCCTCTTTCTACATACAAAATTCTAAATTCTGCACAAGTACACACCTTGCCAGCTCTCTTCTTTCATGAAATAAGAAAGAATTGTGCCTGGGCATGCAAACCAGCACGACTCCGCCTTCTCCTTCCTTTGCATTATCTCCAGTGGAGGATTTGGTTCAGGCAGCTCATGCTTTTCCTTTTCACGCCCTGCCCCTTATTTGCATGACCATGACTGCCCGACATGCCCTTTCCAGTTGCATCCATCAGGGTTCCCAGAGCAGCTTTACTGGTTCATTATAGTTCCCCTTTTGAGGCTTCTTGGCAGAGCTTGGTGAATACCCAGGACCAGCAGAAAGCAGAACAAGTGGGCCCTAGATTAAATTGAGCCAGACCTTGCCTTGGCAGCAAAAATGACGAAACTGTCTTATTTTGGGCACATCTCGAGAAGGCAAGACTCCCTACAGAAGACAATCAGGCTGGGGAAAATTGAAGGCAGATGAACTGGAAGCCCAAATGTGACTTGGATCAATTCCATAAAGGGAGCCACAGCCTTGAGTTTGCGAGAGCTGAGCAGGGCTGTTGAGGACACAATGTTCTGGAGGGCTCTCATTCACAGGGTTGCCATAACTTGGAGATGACTTGACTTGATGGCATGTAACAACGACAACAACAACAACAGGCATGCTCTGGAGGGATCTTGGGAATGCTTCAGATGGGGCTGTTGTCTCTTCCCCCGTACATGCATGGCACCCCCACACTTTAGTCACAGTAAGGTTAAACTCCCGACAGCAAGTGCGGCATTTTGGAAGAAGGAATGCAAGAAATGAGATCACACAGACAAACGGAAGCACTAGAAACACCCAACCTTTGGCTTAACCCCTGAATCCTCTCCCCTCTTCCAGACTGTCACTACTGTGATGATTGCGGTTACTCTTCTTTGCACACTGCCCAACAGCTGAAGCTCTCTGGTGCTTCTGTAGCTCCCTTCCCTCCATTTGCTGTCTCTTCTTCGTGCCCCAATTCCTATTCTAATCTGAGACAGCAGATTGCTCTGCGGAAGGAACTCTATTGTATAACAGCAGCAATCAATGTAAAGGTAGCGATCGTTCCACCACGAGCATGGCAGAGTTGTTTTTGCGATAGTATTTTCCTTTGTGGAAAGTGGGCCTCTGCAGGGATAAATCGGCAGGCAAGAGGAGAAAGAGAGAGTGAGAAAGAAAGAGAGTGTGCGCGTGTGTGCGTGTGCACACATGCAAGCTGGCTCCCCACGTACACTTTTTGGTTTGCCAGATGCGTTTGCCACTTGGAGTGTGTCCTGGGCACCCTCACAAAATGGCTCTATGAGGGCCGGCTGGCTATATGCAGAGTGGTTGCCATGCTGGGTGTGGCCAGTCAAAATCACACATTTCTTCAAGGGCAAAAAGGTGAGGCCAAAAGCAAAGTAACATGTGCAAGAACCTAAATGCAAAGCCAAGGGAGGGTCACCAAACTACTCCTTTGAACCCACAGGTTTTCTGCACTGACCAATGAGGCTCAGAAACAAGCAGCTTGGCCAGGAATGCCTCCCAGGGCCCAGGGGCATCCTTGGATATCAAGACAGTGCTGGGGACGGGGAACTAGCTTTACGGCATGTCAGCCTCCCAGGATTTTTTTTTTTATTAAAGCCTCCACCACCATCAGAGACACAAACACCAGCACACAAAATTAGTAGGGCCAGGGGGAGATATCTGCAGACCAGTGGTGACCACATTGGAAAGTGCAGGCGAAGCCTTCCTGTTCCAGTCTCCCCTGGAAAATGCACCTTGCCCAACAGTTTCTGACCTCATTCCCTATTTCCAGCTGAACATCACCATTTTAGGCAACTGGACCTGGATGTGGAAAGCAGGACTCCCTGGGACTGTTCCCACTCACAAATTGCTACAGTCCATGAGAAACCGGAAGTCTAAAGCAATCAACGAGGCTGGGGAAGCAGCAGCCTTCCCAGGTGGTGGTAGGTTCCAACTCCCGTCAGGCTTAGCAAGATCAGAGGGGCACCACCTCCCTGCCCGCTGGCTTGCATGGAAACAGTACCTGGGTGTTTTGAGTCACAGGGCTGTTGCAACGCTCCCCTCACCTTCACAAATGTTTACAGGGAACTTCTTGTCTTCCAGCACCTGGGGATTTGGGATCCAGGGCTCCTCCCCTCGCTCCAGCCGGGAGATCAACTCAGGTTTCGGAATTGGAACAGCTAGGAAGGACACATACAAAGGAAAATATAAGAAACTATAGGAGTGTTAAGTTTCAGATTATTTTACTCTGTGTATTTCTGCTCAGACTTTACTGCAAGAAAACATGATTAATAATATGTAGATTAAAATTGTGGTGGATTAACAACATAAGAATGTCCAGGTATAGAGAAAACTTCCACAGAGTCGGCCATGTTAAGGTGCCCCTCTGGGCAAGTTTTGGGCAGAAGAAAGGTCTGCAAATCCCAGCATTCCCTGTGCTGGCTGGGCCATGTCAGGAGTTTTTGGACTTTCGCTCTGTCTAAACAGGCAGAGGATTGCTCACCAAGTTTCACAACACAAAACACAAAGGTTCTTGTGATGTCCATCTTAAAAACCAGGTAATTGAGAACTAAACCAGACCACCAGTGCAGACCTCCTCTGCAGTCCTGTGACCAGTTCTGGGCTCCACAGTTTAAGAAAGGTGCAGACAAGCTGGAAAGGGTTCAGAGGAGGGTAACAAGGGTGATCCAGGGACTGGAAACAAAGTCCTGAGAGGCTGAGAGATTGAAAGAACTGGGCATGTTTAGCCTTGAGAAGAGAGAGAGGAGAAATAAGATAATGCTCTACAAGTATGTGAAAGGCTATCACAAAGAGGAAGAACAGGATCTCTTCTCCATCATCCCAGAGTGCAGAGCACAGAATAATGGGGTCAAGTTACAGGAAGCCAGTTTGCAGCTAGATATCAGGAAAAATCTCCTGACTGTTAGAGCAGTACTGCAATGGAGCCCATGACCCAGGGAGGTCATGGGCTCGCCTACACTAGAGGCATTCAAGATGCAGCTGGACAGCCATCTGAGAGGGACGCTTTAACTGGGAGGCCTGCACTGAGCAGGAGTTGGACCCAATGGCCTTCCGACCCCTTCTGCTATTCCATGAATGAACCCATACCTTTTACAGGGATGTTTTTGTAAATAAGTAAACTCAACTACATTTCTTTTTACATTTTAACTGTAGTGTAGAGGCCTGGCTTGCAATATGGATCATAAAAGTCCCCCACCCCACCCCGCTTCACTACAGACCCCATCTGGATTGGGTCGCCTGTGTTTACTTTGCAATACAGATGAAAAAGACATAGCTGTTAGCTAAGGATTTAAAGTAGCATCCATTTTGGTCTTGTTGCATAAATGTTCATGAGTAGAACCCCATGTCAGAAAGAGGATACTTCTGTTTACAGGATATTGAGGGCAGACAAGAGAAGAGAATGGCTGTGTTCACACCGTGCTTGTGAGCGTCCCAGAAGTATCCAGTTGGCCACTGTTGGAAATAAGATACTGGGGCTAGACAGACATTTAGTTCGGTGTTAAAGTTCAACCTCAAGCCACAAACTTCTTACGTAGGCTTGGATGAGTCACCATTCCTCATCCATAGGCTCCTATCCTACTACAGTATTACAGAAAACTATCAAAAACACAGAAAAGGGGTCTTAAGAGGTCATTTAGTCCAACCCCCTGCTTAAATATTTCCCACCAAAGAGAGGCCAGTGTTGCCCAAAGGCATCTGCACTTTCTCCCTGAAATTGCTGCTCATGGATTTTAGTCCTCTCTGAGAATAGTACTGACCTATTTTTAACAGGTTTCCTTTTCAAGGACTACTGCTATGACCCTGCACGAAGCAGTTTAGGAGACCTGACACGTGCTGCATGAATGTTATGGTATTATTAAAACACATACCCAAGGAGGACATTCTAAATGGTAAGCTTTCTTTCTTTCCTTTCTTCAAAGCAGCTGAAGAGGGCAAAACTAGTCTCCCCCTTTTATGCTCACAATCACCTTGTGAGGTATGCTAGATAGGGGGAGAGAGTCGCTACCCTCAAGGTCACCCAGAGAAACTTCATGGCTGATAAGTGGGGATCCGAACCCAGGATTTCAGGAGTAGTCTGATACTCAGGGCCAGCTTCCAAGCCTGGCCTCACCCACTTCCTTCCAACCACTGATCATTTGCTGGCTTTCTGTACAGTTTTTTGCCTAATCTGAAAAGCTGAAATGTTTCTCCTGGGGCTCATAATATATCCTGCTTTTTTTCCTCTTGCAAGGAATCCTAAGCAGCTTACAAGGTGCTCCTCTTCATTTTATCCTCTCAAGAACCCTCTGACACAGGCTAGGCTGAGCGGCAGGAATGGGCCCGAGATCACCTAGCGGGCTTCACGGCTGAGTGAGGAATCTCCGGAGTCCCAGGCCAGCACTCTTAACCATTACACCACACAAGCTTCGTTACCAGAAGAAAAGAACTTAAGCTAAAATTTTTGGATATTTCCAGCCTCAGCCCTTCTACCTTCCATGCAACCTGCTGCTGCTGCAGCAAGAGTTTCTGTGACACTGGGCCTCAGGCTGAACGGAGTTTCCTAACCTGCCTCACAGACAAAAAAGATTAATGAAGCCAGGGCTGCTTCCACATTTGAGGGGAGACCAGGAAAAAGTGCACACAGTGCTTGCTAGGCCCTGACTGGCTCACTGTGGGCAGTGGCAGGCAGCAGAAGCAGCCATGTTGGGTGGCTTAGGGCCGCCATGTTAATTGTCAGCCATGTTCCTGAGTAGCACTGTGACAGGGTCGTTCGACATTCACACGGCGGCCTTGTGTTGCAGAGCTGGTGCAGCTCAGAGTACAGGGGCAAAAAAGGAGCCTGGAGTTGCCGGGACCTGGTAACTGCCTGAGAGACACCACCAGTCCTGCTTAAAGGACCTTCAAATTAATAAATCTTCTCCAGCACATTAGTGGTCCCAAAGGTTCTCTTGTTGCTTTTGTGATGACCAACCAACCTGGTCTGGAATTTAAAAAGCTCCTCCACTGCGCTCCCCAAGACAAGACAGAGGATCCCAAAATCTAGGTGATTTTCGGTGGTCTAGGAGGACTCTTGACTGCTCCTATAACACCTGACAGCACAAGAGGGGATCGGGTGGTCTTCAGGTGTTGCTGAACTCATCATCCCTGATCCCATCCTGGCTGGGGCTGATGGGCATTTGACCCCAACAGCATTTGGAGGTTCCCTACCCTTGCCTTAAAGGTTGACAAGAGTCTCGGGTGTATTGTGTTCTCATAAAACAACAGTAGAAGTACTTTATCACACAAGGCTTAAAATGGCTTCCAGCCTCCCACAAGGGCGGCAGGCCTCCCACCTGCCCGAAGCAAAACACTGAAGAAGGCTCAGGTCAGGAAAAACAAAAAATCATGGTTATAAAGTCAGAATAAAAGCAGCCTGTATGTTTACAGCCTTTTGGCCTTCTCCAGCATTTGTCCTGCTCTTGCATACAGGAGCTGCTCCCGTTTGGCAGGTGCCCTCTAGGTGTATCGGGCTGGAGGTCCATGATTGCCCGCCACCAGACATGGCTGAGGCTAATGGGAGTTGTAGTCCAGCACACTATGGGAGGGCGGCTTTAGTTTGTCAATGTCCTTCAAAAAGTGGCACCCCGGACCAGCCATAGCTCTGTTTTATTCCATTAAAACTCATTTTGACTTCTGTACTTCGGAAAAGACGAACACATATTTTTAAAATATGAGAGGCTGTGCTAGCTGGGGATAAAATTTGGGTCATGGTTCAATGCCTCTGGAGGATCCCAGCTTGGCTGTGTTGCCAAGTACCAAGCAAGGAAAAGAGAGTGTGGGAAACAGACACTCATATTCGATCCATACCGAACAGTGGCAGGGCAGACACGATGAATATCTGTCTTGAGTATACCCCCTCATGATGTTGGGAAGAAGGGCTTGCCTAGCTGAATACACTTCTGCTCACGAACACAAAAACAAAAACAAGCACAGCTCTGCATCTAAACAGAAGCATCTCAGTGGAGAAACTGAGATTCAGTTTCTGCTTCGGTCAGGCTGCATCTGAGTACATGTCCAGTTTTGGGTACCACTTTTAAGAAAGACATCAAGAGTCTGTGGGGTGTCCAGAGGAGGGTGGCCAGGATGGTGAGGGGGTCTGGAAACCATGCTCCACGAGGCGTGATGAGAAGAGCTGGGAATGTTGAGCCTGACGGAGAGAAGATGAGGGGAGCCTTCAAACTCCCTGGAAACTGCGTTGTTGCCCTGTGGGAAGACCTCGGCTGGGAGAGAGACAAAAGCACAACCCTATTGATCCTCCGGGACTTCTCAGCAGCTTTTGATACCATCAACCAGGGTATCCTTTGGGAAAGGTTGGCCAGATTGGGAGCTGGGGACACTGCTCTGCAAAGGATCTGCTCCTGCCTGGCTGACCATCTCTAGATGGTGGTGCTGGGGGATTGTTGCCTTTGTGCTATGGAGTCCCACTGGGCTCCATTTTGTCCCCCATGCTTTTCAACATCTACACAAAACTGCTGGGAGAAGTCATCTGGAGGTTTGGGCTGAAGTGTCACCAACATGCTGATGGCACTCGGCATTGCTTCTTGTTTTCTTCCAGTCCAGGCGAGGCCGTGACCACTTTTACCCAATGTCTGAGCTTGGTAACGGACTGGATGTGGGCCAGTCAGCTGAAGCTCAATCCAGCAAGTCCTCACTTTTTTCCGTTTGACACCAATTGGAGACATTCTTATCTCACTTACTTTGGTGAGTGAATTGGTTTTATAATAGTTTATTGCTGCTGCAGCCCTACTGAGAGTTTTTAGTCACCAGATGGTAATTAGATTGTTTTTAAAAGTATTATTATCAACTGATTATTTGTTGTATTTATAAGTTGTTGTGAGCCGTCCTGAGGCTATGTAGCAATGGGGACGGCATATAAAAACTTTAAATAAATAAATAATATTTAATTTTACTGTTATCTTATTTTAATGGCTTTATCTTTCACTGTTCTTACTGTTTAAATTGTATTGCTTTTATTGATGTTTTATCCTTGTACTATGTAAGTCAGCTTTTGGCTAAAAGGTGTGGCATATCAGTGTAACAGATCAACAAATAAATACATGTCTGAACTGCACTCACACAGATGGCAGAGCAGACTTCTTTATTGTTCCAGAGGAAAGCACTAGAAGCAACGAGCAGAAGT